GGGTTCTATTTCTGGGCTGGAAGATCCACTGGAGAAGGGATAGGCTACCCACTCCAGGATTCTTGGGCTTCCCTTGTGGCTCAGCTGGTAAAGAATCTGCCTGCAATGCAGGAGACCTGGGTTTATCCCTGGGAAGATCCCCACCCCCCCGGAGAAGGGAAAGGCTACTCCAGTATTCTGGCCTGGGGAATTCCATGGACTGTATATTCCATGTGGTCGCAAAGAATCAGACAGGACTGAGTGACTTTCACTTTCACAATTAATAGATACACACTACTATATAAAATAAATGCCAAGGACCCACTATATACCACATTACAATACCTTATAATAACATACAATGGAAAAGAATCTGAGAAATAGATATATAGACATAACTAATAGATGCAGGTATAACTGAACCACTTTGTTGTACACCTGAAACATTATAAATCAACTATATAAAGAAAAAAAGTAGTGGCAAGAGACAAATACTTCACAATTAACAACAGACAATATCCACATTCTGCCATAAAGGAAATGCAAATTAAAAGCAGAGATTCCTCTACACACCCATCAGAATGGCTAAAGCTTCACAATAAGAATTCTAAGGATTGAAAATGAACACTCCAGGGGATTAGTGCAACAAGAGCTAGGGTCAAAGTGCTGAGGCTCCAATCAACGTTCACATAGTAAACAGTAGTAAGTTCTGCTTGGCTTGGACAGAGAGGTGAGTGATCGGAAAAAAAGTATTCTGGAAAAGCAGTTAAGAATCAGATGGTGAAGGGCCTGTAAAGGTCAGGATAAGGACTTTAACCTGTATACAATTAGCAATTCTGAACCGTGACATGGATGACACAATTTAATCTAGTTTTAAAAGTATATAAAAGGCTGTTTCATAGAGAATGTTCCAGAGATGGGAGGACACAGAAACTTTCAAAACTTTATCTCCTATCCTGCAAGAAATTTCTGTCCTCCACAGTTTGGTTTAGCCTCACTGCTCAGCCATTCTTCCAAAACCTCCACCTGTTCTCTCAACCTTCTTTCGTCCTCGCTAGTCACCAGATGAACTGAATTAGTTCCCAGACAGACACAGGACTGAGCTTTCAATCAAGGAAGGCCAAGGGCCTGCAATGCTCTTGTGCTTCCCCTAGGCCTCTCGTGATTTAAATCCAGTGCTTCTCTGGACGTCCACCTGACATCTGTCCACCCGTGACTTCTCTGCCTTCTCCAGCCTGCCCTACTCCCAAGTCCCTGTGGTTCCTGTGTGGCTCCCATCACACACAGTCCAACATCTAACTAGCATTTATCTTGCTTTGTTCTTGATTCCAACAAGACTGTGAGCTCCTTGATAGAAGAGATCACAAGAGTATCCCCCACAGCACCTGAATCAAAGGCATACACTAGATAGTTGTCAGTTCCTCTAGATAATAGAAATCCAGACATATCCCTCGATCCGGTAATTCCATTTCCAGAAATGTATCCTATTGATAAACTCACATAAATATGCAAAAATACGATCAAAGTTAAGGATTCTAGATAGTAGTAAAAACTAGAAATAATCTAAACATCTTTTAAGAAAGCCTAGATCCATTGTGTATATACTGCCCACTAAAAAAAAAAAAAACAACTTGGGATACCTACACATATGGATCATAACAAAGTAGTAAGTGAAAAAAGTTGCAGGAAAGGGCTTAAAACAAGTCCTATATTTATTTATACACACACACAATTTAGAAACACAAGATTTCAGAGGGACAACCTCTGTTAAGTAGGATGGACTTTTTCCTGCAGTATTAAAAACAACAGGCCTAAAATGGATTCATTTATGTTAACTCCCCCATCACCAAACACAGACTTAATAATTAACCAATTATGAGCAGTTTCAGCTCTATCAAAAATGGGAACTTAAATCAGCCAGTCAGAAGTCACTCTACCAGAGCTAGCAAAGTAATCTGCCCGACAGACCCTTTACCATCCCCTAAAGGAAAGGGACCTTGCTAGAACCAAACTACTTTTGGTGAGTGTAACTTCCTTGTTCCTGCCCATTTCTGCCTATAATGTCTACCACTTCACACAGCTCCTCCAGTTTCTATCTGCCAGATTGGATACTACCCAATATATTAATTGCTAAATAATCACTGAATAAGATTTGTAACATTTACTCACTTGAATTGTTTTTTTTAACGTTTAGAAACACTGTTTTAAAAAAAAAAAAGAACAAAGAGCAAGATGCTTGAAATAAAATATTGATATATTTTTACTCACTGCTCCAAAACAGTAATTTACAAAACTTACAATATAAATCCATTTTATTTAAAACAAGAGGAATGGTATATTGGTTATATGTACATAAATAAAATTTCAGAATATATGCCAATTGTTAATAATGGTTATTTCTTGAAGAGGGATTACAGGAAACTTTCATGTTTTAGGTTAGCTGTTTTTCTTTAAATAATAACCATTTACTTAATTTGGCCTTTCCTGGTGGCTCAGATGGTAAAGAATCTGCCCATAATGCGGGATACCTGGCTTAGATCCCTAGGTTGGGAAGATTCCCTGGAGAAGGGAATGGCAACCACCCCAGTATTCTTGCCTGGAGAATCCCATGGACAGAAGAGCCTGGCTGGCCGTAGTCTATGGGGTCACAAGAGAGTCAGACACGACTGAGAGACTAACACACACTTCAATTACAAATAACAAAGATTAAAAAGATTTTATATTCTTCCCTCTGCTGGTGATCATTAGAGGTGAGCATTTTGGTGTACTTGACAATTAGTTACCCTGGAGAGAACCAGTTTGTCAGACTGTCTGCTATACGAAATCTGGGTAAGCATTACAGGCACATTATGCCAAAAATCACATTCAGAGAAGTTATTCATACAAAAGCTACCTCTCTGCTAGAAAATATTAAATGTCTACTTGCTGAAGGGAACCTCTCTAAACGTAACGTTAACCTCAAATATTTACCAAACTACTCTAAGAGCCAGGCATTGCGAGGGCGCCTCGTGATACACTGTTCTGTTTTTAAATATCCCTGATTTATCTAGAGGAAAGTAAACTTGTAGGGAACCCATGTTTCCAGGCCAGTGTTTGAGATCAGATGGGAATCTCTAAATAACTGTACCCTTAGGAGCAAGAGGAGGAAATTGGCAAACCACTAAATGCCACGGATGTCCTCAGAGAAGTTCAGGATTCCACGTGGAGGGTCTGTGCTTCATACAGCGCATCACAGTCCTCAACGGTTCCCCCGTCCGCCTGCCCCAGCGCGGAGCCTGCACCACTGACCTGAGGAGTCACGGCCTTCTCCCTAAGCCTCTGATTAAACCCACATGGAGCAGAGCGGCCTGGCTTTCCTGCTATTTCCTAGTAGTCTACTGCTCCCAACCTTTTCCACCTCAGCATGCAGGCATGCTGTGCTCTGTCGCTCAGTTGTGTACAAACTCTCTGCGACCCTAAGGCTTCTCTGTCCATGCAATTCTCCCGGCAAGTATACTAAAGTCGGTTGCCATTTCCTCCTCCAGGGGATCTTCCCAACCCAAGGATTGAATCCACGTTTCTTGCTTCTCCTGCGCTGGCAGGCGGATCGTTTACCACTGAGTCACCTGGGAAGCCTTTTCCATTTCAACACTGACCCGGAAATCCAACCACCTTAGCCTGACCACTAGTCACTTACCGAAATTAAAGCTTAGAGCTTTGCATGTTTTACAACTCATCCATGCTCACAAGAACCCTGCGAAATAGTCCTACTTCACAAATGAAGAAACTGAAATACAACCAGCAAATCTAAGACTTAGACCCAGAAACCCTGTTGCCTCACTCCAACCCTTCCTATGTAGCACTGTCTCTATGACCTATCCCTTTAAAACTGAGAAAACACTAGATCTTCCAGCAGTCAAGTGTTCACACTCAGTAACAAATCTGAACGTCAACAGGCCAGCTGAATCCAATGTTTACTCTTGGAAATACTGTTGGTCCCCGCTACCCTTGGATAACTGAGAACTACCGAAGTTTCAATTTCAAAATGTTTATATTTGCCAGTGCTTTTTTTTAGGAAAAGCTGTTTTCTAAGATGATTAGACACTCAACCTCTCAACAAGTCAAACATACTGGGTTCAGACTCTAGTTCCTTCCGACCTGCAAAATAAGATAAAAGTTTATGTAAACAATGCAGCACCACAAGTGACTGGGCAGAAAGGAGTCAGGGCCCCTGCAGTAATGATCCTCTGAAGGTTTCACCGTATATACTCCCAGAATGTGGGGAAACTGACAAGTTCACATCAGATTCAATACTCCCGCCCCCAAAACACTCAAGAATTCATAGGTTTACAGAAAACTGTAAACACTATAGAGTTTTGCATTCAATTTAAATTGTTGAGCTGATAAACTAGAAGTTCTACACAAGAGAAACAAAAGTAAAAACCGGTACATAAAAAATGTTTTAATATCATGAAATTAGCACGCAGTTACTACACGATAATGAAAGCAACTAACAATTCCCTCAGAAAAACTCATTTTTCCGTCTACTTCCATATGAATTACAATGACTCCACACTTTAAAATAAGAAAAATCCTTGACTGTTGTATCTTCAAAGCATTTTTATTGGGTAACCTAAGGCATTTTCAAAGGATGACAAATGGGCACAATGGGCAGGCACTCATAAAGTCAACAGACTGATCTCTACCCCTTCCATCTACTTTTCTGCTCCAATTGTTGTTAGGAGCCTGAGAGCTCACATTACAGGCAGGGCTTGGTCTTCTCCAGGTGAAGGGCATCACCTTTAAGTCCTCACACAACCCTACACCGCAAGGACTAAGTAACTATGCTCATTTTTTTAAGATAAGGAAACTGAGGTACAAGAGAGGCTGAGTAGTAATATGCCTAAATCTAGGAAATCTGAGTCAGACTGGACACCATTCTGGGTCGAGAGTCCAGCCCTTTTAACCTTATCAAGGCTTGGGGTGGAGGACCGGGGACTGCGCCATCAATTGCACTGTAAAACGTGTGAAGAAATAGTTACCAGAGGGAAGCAGGGGTTCCAGCGGGGTAATGGCATGCTCCATAACGGAATGCTGGTCTCTGCGTTTAAAATAAATAAATAAATAAAATAAAAATGCCACATTAGAACTTCTCCTAGCTAATTAAACAGCACGCGAAAACGCCAGTACGTGTGACCCCGGGGCGGGCCGCGGAGCGAGCCGCGCTCCCGGTGTGCGGGCCCGGGCACGGCCCGCTGGGCGCGCGGCGACGGGGACGCCGGAGGCGTTCCAGGGCGCGCGGAGGCGCAGAGCGCGCGCGCTACGCGTGTTTCGGCGGGGTCGCCGGGTCCAGCCTCTCCCCGTGCCGCCGTCACCGTCCCGGAATCGGGGCGGGGGGCGACGGGGAGCCAGGGGAGCCAAGGGAGCCAGGGACGAGAAGGGAGTCGGAGCCGCCTGCTCCCCGCCCCACACGCCGGGAACGCGGGTGGCGCGCCAAGGCTGCTGTCGCACTTACACAATATGGCAGGTGGAGCCACCAGCGAGCGGGAGCGCAGACTGCAGGAGCCTCGCGATCCACGGCTCGGCGCTCGACTGAGGCACCTCGGCGGCGCGCGGCCCGAGGCCTGCAGTTTTAAGGGAAGAGCGCGCGAGGCGGCCCCGCCTTCTTCCGGGAGCCGACGGCGCGAGCGAGCCGCGGGGCTCCGCCCCCAGCCCCAGCCCCAGCCCCAGCCCCCACCGCGCTCGCTCCCTCCTTCCGCCTCACCCCCGACCGTGCGTCCCCTGGCTTCTGGCGCCGGAACTTTAGGTCACACTGCCACCTGCTCCTTCACTCTCCGCCCTCTCTTCTAAACTACTACTGCCCTGGAGCCATCGCTGGTGTTTCTGAGGAACGCTGGTCCCTGAACTTTAGCTTGGAGGCCGCTATTTGCTCCAAGCCAAGCGTTAACATCCCCCGTCATGCTTCGCCAGCTTGGCATCAGAGCCCAGCCAAGGTCCCAAGTTCCCGAAAGAGCCCCTTTTCTTGGTCCTCATTCTCTTTGATCTCCCGCTTGCAGCTCGTGTGCCTCACGCGCACGCCTTCGTTAAAGTCTTCGCTGGGTTGCAACAGTCCCAGAATGTTATCGTTGGCAGGAACTTGAAGCTGCTTTTGCAGCTCTGCCGACTCCATCATTCACAGGTTGAAGAGTTCTTTCTTTGGCCACGCAGCCTCTTCCAGGACTGAGCGAGCCAGGTCTCTAGACTTAGTAGACTCCCTAGGCTTTATCTTTTCCAGACTAAACTTGTTCTTTTGAGGTTCTTAGAGGACCTGATTTTTAGCCTCCACTGTCGTGGTTCCCACCCTCTGTATTTAATGTTGCCCATACATCGTGGTTCTGACTGCTGATGAGAATCGCACAACTGTCAGCATCTGACAACTCTTGCAGACCCCTGCCCTGAGAGACGTGACCAGCTCTAGCATGGCTTCTACCAGCCTGCGGCCTGTCCTCAGGACACACACACTTTAAAATGCCTACCTGAGACAGTCCTCACGAACCCTGAGGACAGGCCCCTGACCTCCCAAGCTCTTGCGATTGTGAATATGTATCTTAAGACTCAGAAGCATCTCTCCAAACTTGAGAGCCATTTCCTGCAAATGCAGGAAGGGTAGGATCTTCGTGGGAGAAGAGACTCTCGCTTTAGCAGCTGCCAGCTAGCAAGAGAAGCTTGTGTCATCGCCCTTAATACTGACCGGCTCTTTGCCCACTCTTCCCCCTCCCTCATCCTCCCGTTAAAACTCGTCCCAGTAGCCTCTGCACATATAGGAATAGAGCTCAACTCTTTCTCGACTGTCAGTAGTTACTAAACAAAATCTGTTTTTGACGTTTGGACTAACACCTGGCTGTGTTTATATTTGACACTGTTCAATAAGTTCCAGGGGTGATCCAACCATAGAAAAGTACATTGCTGATACTCATTAATCAGCTGCCAGATCAAATGAAACTTTCAGGTGTTTTTCACATTCACCATGTTAAGCCAAGTGTTCACCTACCTCACAGTCAATTTTAGACCAAACTACTAGGGACTTCACATTTATCGTAGTAAAATTAAATATTAGGTCTTTACCATCACAATACAGCAGGTGAGCCATTTTAACTATGTGCTTACCAACTGTGGGGCTTAAGAAAACTACTTAGATTTCCTCAGATATAAAATGGAAACAATGTTGTCTACTTTGGAAGAGTTCCATAAGGACCAAATGACTAGGTTTGAATAAACACTTGGGAGGGTGCCTAGTGCATATAGGTTTGAAAGAAATGTGTGTCCCTGTCCATCAATATGAGAAGTATCCAACTTACATCTTCTAACATCCCTGTTTATAGCTTACTTCCTTGCAAAGTTTTTATGTGTAATATAGTTCAGGTTTCTTTCTCCCAAAGAAAACTGAAATATTAACCACAATAAATCTCAAAGGTCCATATGTTTCAAGATGCTCATAGTGAAACTAGTAGACAACACACTGAAGGTGAAGGGAGACTGTGACCATGTAACACACAAGTGGTTGCTGTATGTATTTCAGTATCAAGCAAATGGGGGCTTCCCAGGTGGCGATAGTGGTAAAGAACCAAATAGGGGCTTCTCAGGTGGCGCTAGTGGTAGAGAACCTGCCTGCCAATGCAGGAGACGTAAGAGACGTGGGTTTGATCCCAGGGTCAGGAAGATACCCTGGAGGAGGGCACGGCAACCAACTCCAGTATTTTTGCCTAGAGAATCCCATGGACAGAGGAACCTGGAAGGCTATAGTCTATAAGGTCGCAAAGAGTCAGACACGACTAAAGTGACTTAGCACACACCCAACAAGCAAGTGGACCAATAAAATGATGACCAAGGGTGTTACTGAGTCCGGGCTCACACTGCTTACTGCATGACAGACCAATAAATCAAGAGATGAGTTGTTGGGACAAGGAATACTGACGTCATTCAGAAAATCAGCAGACCAAGAAGATGGTAGACTAGTTTCCCAGAGAATCATTTGTCTGGGTTTGGATGCTAGGTTCTTTTACAGAACAAAGAGAGGGCAATGAGGAGGTGTAGGAAAATAAGGCAATAAATTGTTGCAAATACTTGCTGGTTCCAGCCAGACTCTGGAAGGTGTGTGTTAATTTCTTTTTCCCTGCAGCCATACAGGTCAGGATGTTTCCTATGAGCTAAACAAAGGTATTTTAGCTTAACACTCAGTCATGGGAGGCAGAGTTTTCTGAGATAGGCCACTGTGTACACTTTAAGCCATAGGGAGCCATAGTGATTCAGTTCAGTTCAGTCGCTCAGTCGTGTCCGACTCTTTGCGACCCCATGAATCGCAGCACACCAGGCCTCCCTGTCCAGCACAAACTCCTGGAGTTTACCCAAACCCATGTCCATTGAGTCGGTGATGCCATCAAACCGTCTCATCCTCTATCATCCCCTTCTCCTCCTGCCCTCAATCTTTCCCAGCATCAGGGTCTTTTCCAATGAGTCAGCTCTTCACATCAGGTGGCCAAAGTATTGGAGTTTCAGCTTCAGCATCAGTCCTTCCAATGAACACCCAGGACTGATCTCCTTTAGGATGGACTGGTTGGATCTCCTTGCAGCCCAAGGGACTCTGAAGAGTCTTCTCCAACACCACAGTTCAAAAGCATCAATTCTTCGGCACTCAGCTCTCTTTATAGTCCAACTCTCACATCCATACATGACCACTGGAAAAACCATAGCCTTGACTAGACGGACATTTGTTGACAAAGTAATGTCTCTGCTTTTTAATATGCTATCTAGGCTGGTCATAACTTCCCTTCCAAGGAGTAAGCACCTTTTAATTTCATGGCTGCAATCACCATCTGCAGTGATTTTGGAGCCCCCCAAAATAAAGTCTGACACTGTTTCCACTGTTTCCCCATCTATTTGCCATGAAGTGATGGGACCGGATGCCATGATCTTAGTTTTCTGAATGTTGAGTTTTAAGCCAACTTTCACTCTCCTCTTTAGTGATTAACTTGTAGCAAAAGCAATAGAATAAAATTGAACTTGCTCAGTCCTGTCTGACTCTCTGCAACCCTGTGGGCTGTAACCCATCAGGCTCCTCTGTCCATGGGATCTTCCAGGCAAGAATACTGGAGTGGGTTGTCATTTTCTTCTCCAAGGTATCTTCCTAACCCAGGGATTGAAACCCGGTCTCCTGCATTACCAGCAGATTCTTTACGCCCTGAGCCACCAGGGAATCAAGATTAAAACAAAAGAAACAGATTCAACATGGAGTCAGATTTGTTCTTCCCTATAAAGCTCAACATTCAGAAATTCTCCTGCATTGACAGGCCAGTTCTTTACCACTAGCGCCACCTGGGAAGCCCCATTACAAGGATATATACAGGCAAATTACAGAAGGTATTCAACTAGTGTGAATGGCAACTAATGTGAAAAACACAACATCTCTAACATTTGGAGAAGCAAATTTGAACAATGAGATAAATTTACTTACTAGATTGCAAATAACATTGTAAATTATCATACAAATTTATGTTTGTTCAATAATTATTAGGTTCCAGTAACTCTGTTGAGGTCTTTGTATTTTATTTAATTATCCTAAAATGTAGGCTCCAAGAGAACAAGGACCAGATTTTCACTGTTCACTTTTGAATCCTCACACTCGGGCACAGTTTCTGGCAAAGAGTAAGCAATCAATGAATATTTACTGAATGTTCATAATGAAATTGTTTGCAATAGCCTAGAATGTTTCTTCTCTCACAGCTGACTCATTCATCCAGCCTCAGCACAAAACTAACTTTCCTCCTCTGGTCACTCTTCATCTAACCTAGGATGTTTGCTCTGCTGAAGAGCTATGTTCACAATCTGTAGTTATTTAACGTGTTTATAATTTTTCTCCTCCTGCTAGAGTGAGAGCTTGCTAAGAGCAGGAACCATATCTGTTTTGTTCATTGCCATTTATCCAGGCAAACAAGAATACCTCACCCATAATAGAGATTGAATAAATGTTTGTTAAATGGATTAAAGCACGGTGGGAAAAAAATGAAAAATTGAAGTACAGAATACCAACAATAATTAAAAAGAATAAG